TGTCGACCACCCTATACCAAAAACCTCTCAAAAAAAAAAAAAAAAGAAAAGAAAAGAAGGGCAAATTGCATGGTACTGGGGTGTGGGTGGGAGTATGGATGGGAGAAGCTTACCAAAGAGACCACAGAGGGATATATATGTATGTGTGTGTGTGTGTGTGTGTGTGTGTGTGTGTGTGTGTGGACACACACAACGAATGTTCATAGCGGCTTTATTCTTAATAGCCCAAACTGGAAACAATCCAATGTTCACCAACTGGAAAATATTAATAGATAGCGGTGGTACAGCCATACAGTGGAGTTCTACAAAGCAATAAAAAACAAATTGCTAATGCATTCAGCAGTGAGGACGAATCTCAGAAACATCCTGCTGAGCATGATAGGCCTGACACAAAAGAGTATACATTGTATGATTGCATTTATGTGAAATTCTAGGATAGGAAAAACTTCTTTCTTTTCCCGGAAGCACATACACTTGCCAGAGAGAGTGAGAGAGAGAAGGGGAGAAAACACCCCCCAGTGGAGAGTGATGGTGCGACAATTTCTTTTCCTCCATTTTTCTATTTTGTTAGAGTTTGAGGCACTTACAAAAACACACCCAGAGTACTTTTCAAGCCTCCAAGTCTGGACTCAAACCCTGGGACTGACTCTCTTAAGCAGTAGACTGCTGGCTAATCAAGGAAAAATTCGCAGATAGAAGTTAAAACAGTGGCTACCACGAAGGGAGGCTGTCAGTGAGTGCTGACTAGGAAAGGGCTGAGCACTTTCTGCAAGATGGAAGTGTTCTACCTCTTGATCTGGGTGGTGAGTATTGGAGCATATGCATTGGTAACAGCTCAGCAAGTTGTGTGCTAAATGTAAGTGCAGTATATGTACTATATATATGTTATACCTCATAAAAAAGCAAGAAGTAGGTTAATGACAAGGGACTTAACGAGGAGAATGATATAAAACAATTATGGTCTATTTCAGTGTTACTTGATATAAACATATATGTGAGACTATAATATATGTAATTTAAAATTTTCCAGTAGCCAAATTTAAAAAGCAAAACATAGGAAAGTTATATTTACAAGTATGTAAATTTTAGTTATAATATTTTATTTAGCAATACTTAAAATATTCAGGGACCAGCAGGTGGTGTGGTGGTTAAGGCGCTGGACACTCCCACATGGCCAACCATGGTTCGAGTCCTGGACTTGGTGGCTTGCTTTCTCACTTTCCTTCTCTCTCGTTCTCTCTCTCACTCTGTGTCTCTCTCTGGTCAAATTAAAATAAATGAATGAATGTATAAAATTAAATAATTCTAAAAGGAATTTAAAAACTAAAGTAAAATATACTATTCAATAAAATAGATGTGATAATATTTTATTAGACATTATATTTTATGATGCCTTATTAAATGTTAATAATGTAGCTATTATTTATTATATTTCATAAATTTCATTTATATCCAAGTATTTACCATTTAAGCTCATGATCAAAATTTTAAAAATATATTTTTTGAGAGGTTTTCGCTATAGGGTGTGTGTGTGCACCAGAAAGACAGAGATAGAGAGACAGAAGGCGAGAAATCACCCCCCAGGGGGATGGCCACACCATAATCCCTTCTCCATTCCCCTCTTGAGATCTTAGGCATGCATGCACATGCGCCCAGCGTGTGTTCAAGCCACCGGGTCTGGGACTCAAACCAAGGTCGACTACATGGGAGTCCAGCAACATGGCCATTATACCAACTGCTGGTTCCAAAATTTAAAAATTATTAATAGGGGCTGGCAGGTGGTATGGTGGTTAAGGTTCTGGTCTCCTGCAGGGTTGACTGTGGTTTGAGTCCCAGCCCTGGTGGCTTGCTTTCTCATTTCCCCTCCCCCTTCTCTGTCTGTCTCTCTTTGGTAAAATTAAAAATAATAATAAATAAAATTAAATTATTCTTAAGAAAAGATTTAGTTTTTCTTTAAAAAAATTATTAATAAGATATTTTATGTACTGGGCACTACTAGTATCTTGGAAATATTGGGTTGTCAGAAAAGTCATGATGCATTTTTTGTGTTTTTTTTTTGCATAAAAAATTTGAAAAAATATATGATGTTTCCAACAATCCAATAGTACCAGTTAAGAATGATAAAACCCATGTTCTGATACTACTGTTTGCATAAATATAATGTCTCCTACTAACTTCTCTGAGTCTTAGTGTTTCATTCTAAATAATGGGGACTCAAAATGATTGTGGAGAGAAATACTCCTCCATGAGTCTTGCATCTTATTAGGTATGCCAGGAGTGCAAGGCCCTGACCACCTACTACCTGGGCTGTTTCTCAGGGTTATATTTGCATCAGGCAAGCTTGAGGGGTGAAGTAATGTCTCCTTCAGTACAAAGAACAAGTTAGCTTATAGTTTATAACAAAGTGGCAAGATTTCCAACTTCAGTCTTTCTCTTTAACTGTATGTGGTTTGCAGGTCAAAGGAAACCAACACAAGCATGGAGCTTATGTTACCTGCTGTGCCATGGGCGAGAAAGTCTTTTGCCCCTGCCCCAGGAGTTTTGAGTCTTCTGTCAGCATTTATAAAACAGTAACAGGTAAAATTATGAGTTCATAAATAAGATAGAATGAAATTCCATCACCTTCCACTGAAGACTTTTCCTTCTTCCCTTTCTGGTAATAATCAAGTTCAATTCATTTGGAGTTGGAAAGATTCCATAAATATATTTCAATACCAATATTAGATGGCATATAATTAACCCCTAGACAAATGAAACACTAGTATTAAGGAAGTTCAACCTTAAAAAGTCTACCCATTGCTGTGGAATTTAATGGTGAAATATATCTGTCCCAGCAAACTTGTTATAAAATCGTTTCTTTATTTTTTTAAAGAATATTTTATTTTTATTTATTGTTATTGTTATTTTAATTCACAAGAGAGAGACAAAGAGTAAGAGAGAGAGTGGGAAGGTGAGAAAGCAGGCCGCCAGGTCCAGAACTCAAACTGCAGGTGGCCATGTGAGAGTCCAGCACCCTAACCACCACACCACCTGCTGGCCCGTCTTTTTTTTTTTTTTTTTAAACTGTTAAAGGGTGCATGAGCCCACCAGACAGACAGAGACAATTAGTGAGAAAGCACCTTTCAATGGGACATGATCACTCCACAATCCCTTTCCCTCTATCTCTCCATCCTTTAGGGTTTAGGGCATGCACACATGCCTGGTATGTTTTCAAGCCACAGAAGCAAAGATTGAACTGCAAAGATGGCCATGTGGGATCTGACTCCCTTAACCCTTAGGCCATGAGTCTAGCTCTATAAAATTTTTTCTGTAAATAAATATTTTCTGATCTGTTTCCATTGAAAGAAAGCCAAAGGTTGGTTTCCAATGAGTGAATTGCTTTGTTGAAGAAAGGGATGGCAGTTGGTGTTGGGAGTCATGGCATTTCTGTCACCTTGCCTATGGGGACGGCTCTGTATCACCAAAGGCTTCAATTCTAACTTCTTGCTATGTCCTTTTGATGCATATGGACTTATTCATATAATCCTTCAATTGGGAAATACCTTTAGGCTTCCTACCATTTTTTATCATTTGAGCTAAGTCCTTATGAAGGATAATTAAAATCCAGAGGGAATTTATATTCTTCTAGGACAGAAGAATTTGACTCCAACCTTCCAGTTATAAAAATGACATTACACTTCCACGGAAAAATCAAAACATCCTGATATAGGAGCAAACAAGGTATGTGGGAGCATGATCACAATTTTAGCAGAGAAAGTCGAGGAATTCCAGGGATGAGAAGGAGCCTGGATGCAGAGGCTGGAAATGAAAGGCAGAGTTCCGCAGTCATGGCTAAGCCAGTTTAGTTGACTGGACCTATATGGAAAAGTTCTTGTGGAACTTTTTTCTTTTAAGCTTCTTTTATTTTTATTTTAAAATTTAACTTCATTTATTTACTTATTTTAATTTGACCAGAAAGGGACACAGAGAGAGAGAAAGTGAAAAACCAAGTCGCCAGGTCCAGGATTCCAACTGCTGTCAGCCTTGTGGGAGTCCAGTGCCCTTAACCAACATTTCACTTACCAACTCCTTTGTGGAACTTTTTAAGCCCTAAAAAGGTTTGGTCATGTGCATTTGCTAAGGGAAATAAACATACCCCCCCCCTTTTTTTTTTAAGGGTAGCCAATGTCTTGTTTAAGGGTAGCCAGGAAAAGTAGAAAAATTTTATGTGCAATGAATGGTAGTAAAATTTAGTGTTTTGATATCACCAGGACTCTAGTGACAATTTTCCTCTCAACTGTGTTGAAGACATGCTAGATTGCGGTAAAATGCACCATGAAACATCACTGGGACTGATTTTTAACATGAGATATCCTGGGGCCAGTGGATGGCATGGGGATTGGGGTGCTGGATTCCCACACGGCAAACTGCGGTTCAAGTCCTGGACCTGGCTGCTTATTTTCTCACTTTCCCTCTTTCTCTGGTGAGCACATGTGATCTATAGGAAATAAAAAATAATTAGTAGTAGTAATAAAATTTATATTAAAAAAAAGAGAGATCTTACTAAGACTGCAATGATCCAGTCAGTCAGTATTTTCAAAAATAAATTTCCTGGCCTACCCAGTGGGTAGAACTGTGCAGTGCTAGAGCCACATGGGGAGGCTTGCGGGTTTAGGTCCAAGGGCAACCTGGATATGCCGCATACTCCTGTGGATGTGACTATGGCCCTGACTGGCTGGAAGACTAGGGATGGGGGATTTGCAGTGTGGTGAGATTCTGTTAACGTTCTCGTTCTCTTTCTCTTTCAATAAATAAACAAATAAAGTTTAGATTTTGTTTTTTTTATTTATTTTTTTTTTAAGATTTTTTTGCTAAAGGGTGGTGCACTCACTGGAAAGAGACAGAGAAACACAGAGAGAGGGAAAGTGAGAAATCACTCCCCCTGGGATGTGGGGGGTATGGCCATGCCTCAGTTCCTCCTCTTCCATTCTCCTCTTGGGATTCTGGGCATGTATGCACATGCACCTGGTGTATTTTTCAGGCTGCCAAATCTGGGAGTCCGATCACTGGCCATGAACAATTCCGCACCCTAACTACCATGTCACCTTCTGGCCCACGGATAAACTTTTTAAGAAGGGAAAATAAATCTTCCCACCTTAGGAAAGACTGTTTTTGAAATCTTTTGTTATAAAAGTTATCCTTTAATGGCCTATCGTTTGTTCTTTATTTCTTTTTAAACATTTTTCCATAGGGCAAATGTGCTTGCCAGAGAGAGACAGAGCTCATTCAGAGCTCCTGAACGGATTTGTGGAACAGAATTAGATCCATTTACAAAAAAGTTGCTAAGCACAGCAAACCATCTCTAGGACTATATTCTTAGCTTCACCTTGGTTGATGTCTAGGACAAGAAATAAAATAAAATGAAGGACCTGTGTTTGTCAGAACAAAGTGTAGTTAAATATATGTAAGAGGAACTCCAGAAATCCATATTGTGGTTTGAAAATATGAATACATTTACCATGTTTTGCACTGGCACTCTGGGAGAGGTGAATTAAAGGACACTTTAGTTGTTTATTTCTATCTGTGGCAAGCAGGAAAATTCGAGGTTTCTAGACAACTGAAGTCAGCTCAGCCGATGAAGAGTCACGTGGCTAAAGAATAGTTATATATATATTTTTTACATATTTTAAATGACAGAAGGAAGTTCACAATTGCAAATACTAGTGAAGCTGAAAATCTATTAGGGAAAAGCCATTAGATTGCCTTAAAAAAAAAAAAAAGCAACCAATGTCAAATAAATTAGCACCTTTCCTATGGGAGATGGTCATGCTGCAATCCCTTGTCCTCCACCTCTCCTTCTTTTGGTATTTTGGACATGGTTGCACATGTGTCCAGCATGTTTTTCAAGCTGCCTTGTTCATGACTTGAAATGCACATTTGGTCATTTGGAATCCAGCCACCTTAACTACCATGCCATTGGTTGGCCTGATTTTACTTTCCTAATATCTTTGATTCATTTTTATTCATGATAGAAAATGTGTGTGTGCATGGGAAAGAGAAAGACAGAAAGAAAACACACACACACACCCCTACTGGGGCCTGGCACACTACAATTCTTTTTCTTCCAATTCTTCATCCTTTCAGGATTCTGAAGACCCGTATGTAGCATGGTGTGAAGCTGATGAGGCCAGGAGGCGAACCCCAGTCAGTCCCATGGAACCTGGCTTCCTTTGCACAACACCTAACTGCTACACCTTGGAGCTGGCCCTATTTTGCTAATATCTTTCTCACATCTTTGATAGTCAGTGAGAATCTCACTGCACAGTACAGCTAGAATCTTTCCCTCTTGAACTGTTGCAAAAGTCTCAAGAAGCAATTCTTGAATATAAAATAAATTAATTTTAAAAAAGAGAAGCGATTCTTTGGTATTATAGACTCCATGTTTGTGTTCTTCTGTCCCTAAATTCATATGTCAAAACCCCACCCTCTGATAGGACCTTTGGGAGGTAGTCAGATTTAGACAAGGGGATGAGGCTGGGATCCTCCTGACCATATAAGAGAAACCAGCATGTGCTCTCTCACTCCCAGTTCCACGTGAAGATACATCAAGAGGACAGCCCTCTGCAGGTAGAGGACCTTCACCAAAACCCAACCACGCTGGCACCCTAACCTGGGACCTCCCAGCCTCTACAATGTTGGGAAATAAATGTCTGTTGTTGAAGTCGCCTAACCTATGGTAGTTTGTTAGAGCAGCCCAAGATAACTAAGACACCCATCTTTCCTTTGCCTACGATGTGCAACCAGTGATCATTTCCTTTTAATATTTAATGTTACTCCTATATGCAAACATCTTCAGTAACCTCCCATCACTGAAAAACAACTTAGAAATTTCTCGCTAGCTCCTATGTTCTGTCCAGCCTTCATACACCTTACATCTCTCATCATAGTAACTAATTGCTGTTTCCTAAAACCCCCAAGCCTTTCTTCCCTGGAATAGATATAGTGACACTCTAGTCGTTGGAATTGCTCTGCACCATTCTAAAAGTTTTCAGGTTGGGAGTCAGCAGATGGCATGGCGAAGGCACTGGATTCTCACATGATCAACTGCAGTTCAAGTCCCAGACCCAGTGGTTTGAAAATCACGCTGGGCATGTGTGCATGCATGCCCCAAATCCTGAGAGAATGGAGAAGAAGAGATTACAGTGTGGCCATACCCCTTGAGTGGTGATTTCTCACTTTCTCTTTCTCTGTGTTTCTCTCTGGCAAGCACACATGCCCTATGGCAAAAGTCTAAAAAAAAAAAAAATGTTTTCAGTCCACTTTTTCTTAATACCAAAGCCTGTTTGGTAAGCCTTTAAAAAAGAAGGGTAGAATAGAAAAATAGAACACACCATAAAAGGAAAGCATTAGCTAGCCAATTTTACCAAGTGCATAGGGCATCTTGAACTTGAGCCAATGTAAGTAGACAAACAGCCTTTCAGACAGCTATGACCCAGAAAGGATTTAAATGAGCCCATTTTTCAGACTCTGTTTCATTATTAAGACTTTCAGAGACACCTGAGAGACAGTTACCCTATCCCTGCCATTTTCAAATCACTATTGTGAACAATAATATGTAGACAAGATTGGACCAGGGACAGGATTATTGGCTCTCCGTTTTGCCTTTCTCTCTTCCATATTTTGTGTTTTCATATGACTCCCAAAACTTCTCCCATATCCTGATTGTTTATTATTTTAAGAAAGTGCCTCATAAAGATATTTTGACGTGCTATTAGCTTCCTTAGTACAGTTCAGTTACCAGAAGACTCTAGATAAGATTGGCCTGAATGTTCATATTCCATGCCTTGGGGAGAAGGAAAACCAGAGCTCACGCCAAGGGCTGTGTAGTCCCTGTGGAGTTACAGTCTCATGGTCCTTTGACTCTGTGAGCCTCCACTGAATTCTTTTCTCCATTCTGCAACATGATCACTTTCCTGTCTTTAATCTATTCCTTAGTTTTTATACCCCAAACATCTCTATTTATCCCAAGTTCTGAGTAGGTGGCAATCTACAGTAAGTGTTTAGGGAGGCAGAGCCACTTGAGAATCTGAAACACAAACACCAGATATTCTTGTTCTCAGAAGTCTGCTGGCATGTCCCTTGTTTCTGTTCTCCCTCCTTTTTCCGCCTAACCTATGGTAGTTTGTTAGAGCAGCCCAAGATAACTAAGACACCCATCTTTCCTTTGCCTACGATGTGCAACCAGTGATCATTTCCTTTTAATATTTAATGTTACTCCTATATGCAAACATCTTCAGTAACCTCCCATCACTGAAAAACAACTTAGAAATTTCTCGCTAGCTCCTATGTTCTGTCCAGCCTTCATACACCTTACATCTCTCATCATAGTAACTAATTGCTGTTTCCTAAAACCCCCAAGCCTTTCTTCCCTGGAATAGATATAGTGACACTCTAGTCGTTGGAATTGCTCTGCACCATTCTAAAAGTTTTCAGGTTGGGAGTCAGCAGATGGCATGGCGAAGGCACTGGATTCTCACATGATCAACTGCAGTTCAAGTCCCAGACCCAGTGGTTTGAAAATCACGCTGGGCATGTGTGCATGCATGCCCCAAATCCTGAGAGAATGGAGAAGAAGAGATTACAGTGTGGCCATACCCATTTTCTCTTTTTCTGGTTTTCTCTCTGCAAAGCACACATGCCCTATGCCAAAATCTTAAAAAAAAAAAAATGTTTTCAGTCCACTTTTTCTTAATACCAAAGCCTGTTTGGTAAGCCTTTAAAAAAGAAGGGTAGAATAGAAAAATAGAACACACCATAAAAGGAAAGCATTAGCTAGCCAATTTTACCAAGTGCATAGGGCATCTTGAACTTGAGCCAATGTAAGTAGACAAACAGCCTTTCAGACAGCTATGACCCAGAAAGGATTTAAATGAGCCCATTTTTCAGACTCTGTTTCATTATTAAGACTTTCAGAGACACCTGAGAGACAGTTACCCTATCCCTGCCATTTTCAAATCACTATTGTGAACAATAATATGTAGACAAGATTGGACCAGGGACAGGATTATTGGCTCTCCGTTTTGCCTTTCTCTCTTCCATATTTTGTGTTTTCATATGACTCCCAAAACTTCTCCCATATCCTGATTGTTTATTATTTTAAGAAAGTGCCTCATAAAGATATTTTGACGTGCTATTAGCTTCCTTAGTACAGTTCAGTTACCAGAAGACTCTAGATAAGATTGGCCTGAATGTTCATATTCCATGCCTTGGGGAGAAGGAAAACCAGAGCTCACGCCAAGGGCTGTGTAGTCCCTGTGGAGTTACAGTCTCATGGTCCTTTGACTCTGTGAGCCTCCACTGAATTCTTTTCTCCATTCTGCAACATGATCACTTTCCTGTCTTTAATCTATTCCTTAGTTTTTATACCCCAAACATCTCTATTTATCCCAAGTTCTGAGTAGGTGGCAATCTACAGTAAGTGTTTAGGGAGGCAGAGCCACTTGAGAATCTGAAACACAAACACCAGATATTCTTGTTCTCAGAAGTCTGCTGGCATGTCCCTTGTTTCTGTTCTCCCTCCTTTTTCCTCTGTGGGAATTTAAAAAAATCAGAATTTAAAAAAAAATCAAGCAAACATAAATTCTGTCCATTTCCTCTGTATAGCAGTTTAACCTTCTCAAGCTCCTACTTCCCAAAGCACCTCTGAGCCCTCATCCAGGACTTTCATGGCTTCTTCTTTCAGATGACAGATCTTTGGATTATCTGGTATTTTTCTTTAAGCATTTTTAAAAAATGTTTTGTAGATACCAACATAAAGAGGTGGGATATAAATTTAAAAACAGACTAAAAAAGATACTGACAGACTGACTAATGAAGATCCATGGGCTCATGTTGCTCAAGATGGATAAAGAAGTCCTCAGAGATGGTGTTTGCCACCAGGTGCAGTGAGTACATTGACCCCCTCAGCATCTCCTGCACTGGCAACCTTCTGCAAAGGGTTGCCCTTGGGCTCTTGTAGCCACCTCCAGGTGGAAAGTTGCCATTGCCTGGGTGTTCACATCCCCCAAGGTGGCTGGCGACCAGTCACTGACTAATGAGGGTATACGAAAGCCCACTCTCCCAACCTTCAGACTAGACGAGCTGAGAAATGTAACTCGTGCTCCAGATCTCCCCACAGGATCAGACTAAGTCAAGAATTAGTATTTTAAAAAATTCTATTAAAAGAATTAATATAACCTGTACCCTTGTTAATGGCTTCCCCTTTACTAACCTGATTGGCCAACTCCTTTCCTAGTCTGCCCTGACAGCACTTTTTTTTTAATTGCCAGAGAGCGTGTGTACTTTTCAAAGAGAGAGAGAGAAAGGGAGAAAGCACCACCCCTACCACCACCACCAGTGGTGTGTGATCATGCAGCAAACCCTTCTCCATTTCTCCATCCTGCAGGGAATTTGGGCACACATGCGCATGTCTGGAGTGTGCGTCAAGCATCTAGGGCTGGAATTCAGAGGTGGACCATGTGGGATCCAGCTCCCTTAATCACTAGGCTGTGGCACTGGCCCAGGAATACATTTGTTCTTTTTTAAAAAAATTTAAAAGTTTTTTGCTATAGGGCATGTGTCCTCACTGGAGAGAGACAGAGAGAGGAAAAGTGAGAACTTGTCCCCTCCCACCTGCCTACCACAGAGTGAAGAATGGCCACACCACAATCCTTTCTCCTCCATTTTCCTCTCAGGATTCTGGGCATGCATGTAAATGTGCCCAGAGTGTTTTTCAAACCCCCAGGTCTGGGACTGAACTGTGGAGTCACCCATGTAGTATCTTAACCACCATGCCACATGCTGACCCTTGGGTGTACTTGCTTGATAAAACAATTTCACTAGAAACTTTGGCTCAGAGTCTGCTTCTGGGAGAACCTAATTTAAGATACTATGTACTTCATTTTGTTGGATAGACAAGCTGGGAATTCACTCTTCCATACATACACATTGAGCACCTCTTGGATGTGTGGGGTATTGTTAAGACATTTTCATGATTAAGTGTATGACAGTCTATACCCCCATGAAAAATACAAACTAGTTAGTGAAATAAGACATGAAGAGTTGTGGTGTGCTATGAGGACACATGACATTTATTCACACAGAAGACATTGAATATCCTCTGGACACACATGATGGAATCCCACAGATGGGGAAGGAGTGCTCATAGCTTCACAATCAGGGATGTCTTGAAGAGGGTCTTATGTGCTGGGTTTTAGAGAACATATATAATCTCCAAATGAAAAGTTGGAAGTGGAGGGTGAATTAACTGGAGAAAATTACATAGGTAGCTGAGCATTTGAGACAGGAAGATGCAGGAAGTCCTAGTGATAAATGGTTTCCTGAGAGGATCCTCTGTCTTCTGAAAGACTA